TCCTCCGTGTGAATAACTTCTCCCTGTCGCCCCTCGAGGCTGGTCGAAAAGGCTGGCCGGGCGTTTCAATTGAGACTCCCTCACCATTGACGATCCTGAAGCTTCAAACTTGGCAGGTGGTGATTTCTGAAAGCAGGGCGGGTGGTTTTCAAAATGTGGCTCTCGCCTCCGCGCCGTGCGCACTCCGCTTAAACACATGCAGGAGCTTCACGGACTCAGGGCAGGCAGTTTCCAACATGTGCCTCTCGCTTTGGCACCGCGCACACTTCTGTTTAATTGGCAAGAGTTTTACGGATTGAGGGCGGGCCGATTTCAAAATGTGGCTCTCGCCGTAGCGCCGCGCACATTGGTCTCAACCATTCGCAGAAGTTTCACGGAGGGCGGCCAATTTTCAAAATGTGACTCTCGCCTTAACGCCGCGCAACTTCGGTTTAAACGTGCAAGACTTTCAAGGATTCGCATGGTTAAGATACCAGAAACTATGATTTGGAGCGGTTCATGCCACGGCGCGACAGTTGTTGATTCGCGGTGTTGAAGTCCCAGGCATGGTGTTCTGGCGCGATTCAGGATCGTCACGCCGCAACAGTCAGGTTGATTTGTGGCGTTGGAGTCCCGAGAATGAGTGCTTTGGCACGCTTCAGGATCTTCAGACGATTGTCTCCAAACGGGGCACTTCCCTCAGTGGAAAGGAAACCTCGTATGGGACCCATGAAGAGGGAGCTTGGAGGGAGGGTACTTTCCAACATCGTAGATGAGTCTTGGGCTTGCACTGGTCCTCCTTCTCCTCCTCCTCCTCCTCCTCCTCATCCTCCTTCTCCTCCTCCTCCTCCTCCTCCCCCTGGAGGTGTAGGATCCTAGCCGTTGGGTTTTCAATCCCCGCCGAGCGGGGTACTGGAGACCTGGTGGTTTCCTCCTCTCCTGCCGTCCTAGCCTTCTGCGCTGAGATGTGTCTAATCTAATCCAATTCTCCTCCTCCTCCTCCCCCTCCTCCTTGTTCCTACCCCAAGTGTTCCCGAAGAAATTCCAGCGCGCGGCTGGCGAAATACATAGTCCGATAGCTTGGCCAAGCTGGTGCCCAACGATTGACTACATATGCGCTTCCCAAACAGGCAGGGCCTCAAGCGTCTTCGATTGAGGGGGGGCTGGCCGCAAAGGACGAAACCCATACGGATATCATACGATAGCTTGGAAGGCAACTCATGGGAGGCCTTCATAAGAGCGATCAAGGGGCATAGAGCCCGATTACAGGACCATCAAGCCGCAAGCTCGATTCAGCTCGAGACCAAACCCGAGATCAAGCTTGGATTAAGCAGGGGTGAGCGAAATTACACGTGACTGCGCCAGAATAGGTCGGTTTTCGACCACGGATATGCCAACGCAGATGCTGGATTGAACCCCTCAAAAAGTGCCCGAAGATAGCATTTCCGGCTGGGCTTCGATGGCGCGTAAGCACTTCCGATCTAGGCAGCCGCACGTGAGACCTGCCCCTGCAAATCCACATTTCTGAAAAACCAGCCGAGGTTCAAAGTTTGAGGGATGTCAGCACCCAGGTGAAACCCAGCGGGCAGCGGGGGTGTCGATACCACAGCGTCGAGTGGACCCGTAGAAGAAGGGCTCGCAAATGATCGCAGACGATCGCCCTTCCGGCCTCCCAGCAGCACGCACGAGCGACCCTGACCTTGAAGCGCGGTTCGCCGACGATCGTTGCAGGCGATGCAACTGTTGGGCGGCCTGCTCTGCGCGAGACCACCTATGGGAATGGGTGCGTGTGTTGTTCGCTCGTCGCTAGAAGGCTTGGATCGGGGTCGGATCTCACGCAACGAATAGCGTCAATTGCCCCTAGCCGCCCTGCTTCCTACGGATGGACACCCTGCCCGCCCTCTTCCCAAACTCTCGACGTCATCGTCATGACTTCTCCATGGCTTCGACCCCCAGCGGTCCCGACTCAATCCCTGGGAACGGCTTTTCATCCTGAGTCGTTTTTTGGCGACCCCGAGGCTGGGTAAGAGCCCCCGATTGCCAAAATGGTGAAAACCATCCCGTCGTGATTTTTGTTATGTCCTGGGTAGAAGAAGGGAAAACGCAATAAACTTAAACTTTTGGCGCTCCGCCCGGATTTATTGGATCTGCGCTGGACCCCCTGGGGGGGGCCAAGCGCGGATCCAAGAAATCCGCGCGGAGCACCAACGGTCTAGACGTCTGGCGTTCTTCTTCTTTGAGAAAAACATCCCGTCGTGATGTTTGTCATGTTCCGAGGGGGTTTGAGGCATTCCTATCGGCCTACCACGCACTGTTCTTTGAACCCCCAACGCATTCTAATAACAAAAACAAGTGTTCTTAGAGCATAGACCCGACGTGATAAAACAAGACAGTCCCGGTCAGAAATGTTCTAAGACCATCTCGGCAAAACCACAAGAAGGTTCTTCGAACATTTTTGGGTGGGCCTACGGTCGGGGGCGCGCAAACATGGATTAGCGATCCATGGATTTGGCGCGCCGTCGCCAAAATCCATGGAGCGGGGGAGGTGTCCTCCCCAGAATGCGGCTGGTGCCGCCAGATTCGGCGGCGACAATCCGCGACTTCCCATGGACACGGAACCCGTCGCCAATCCACGCCCCCTTACAGTCGGGGTCGATTGGAGAGGACACGCGAGAGGACACCAGACCCTTCCGAGGGCCACATGGCCATATGAATGTAAGACGGCATGGGCCGCGAAGCTCAGGACACCAGGGTGCCTCGATTTGGCAGGGTCGACCTACTAGTCAGTCTCGACTGTAATCCATGTCTGCGATCGCCTAATATAGGCGAGCCCTGGACGCCTCGCCACTGCTCCAGTCGGGCCAGGCGACAGGGGGGATAGCAAAGGGAAGGGTTGAGAATCAGCTCACGCAGCTGCTTTTCCCGGCGCCTCCTGGCGCCGGAGGCGGCCATGTATCGAGGAGTGGGCCCCTCGGTGGGGCCGAAACCAGCTGCATGCAGCAGATTTCGTAACCCCCCCTTTCCCTACCACCCTTTTGTTCGGCCCGACTGATATAGGCGAGCCATCGACGCCTCGCCACTGCTCCCGTCTGGGCTCCTCCCCCCTTAATCCATGTTTGCGATCGCCTGAGTTCTGGGACGCGACGAACCCAGGAGGAGGAGGAGGAGGAGGAGGAGGAGGAGGAGGGAGGAGGAGGTAGGAGGAGGAGGAGGAGGAGGGAGGAGGAGGAGGAGGAGGAGGAGGAGGAGGAGGAGGAGAGGAGGAGGAGGAGGAGCAGGGAGAGGAGGGAGAAGGAGGAGGAGGAGGAGGGGAGGAGGGGAGGAGGAGGAGGAGGAGGAGGAGGAGGAGGGGGGAGGAGGAGGAGGAGCTGGAGGAGGAGGAGGAGGAGGAGCAGGAGGAGCGAGCCCAGGACGCCTCGCCACTGCTCCCGTCTTGGCTCCTCCCCCCCCGCGCCCGCGCGCGAGGCCGCCGCCCTGCCGGCGCTCTGCAGCCGGCCGGCGCCGCGCGCGAGGGCCGCCCACAGGCGCCGCGCCGCCCCGGCGGCCCGCGCGGGCGCCCTCGCCAGGGCGGAGTCCTTGACGGGGGCCCAGACTCAGGTCGGGCACGTCCCCCTATACAGGGGGATTTGGGGCGACAAATGAGAAAGATCCCAAACGTGACCAACCATAGCAACAAAAAAGAAAGTCTAACATCGTGCCCAGACTATTGTTTGACAATTTCGGAGTACTCGTCTTGTAGAGGGAGAGGCCCGACTTCAGCCCAGACTCGGCGGCGAGCGAGAAGGGGGGTAGCGAGGTGGGGAGGGAAGGCTGCGCCAGAAGGCGAGGGGGCTGCTCAGAGGTCCCCGCGCCCTCCGAGAAGCTTTTTCGGTGTCTTCGGGTGAGGCTCTTAGGAAACTTCTCGGAAGGCCGGGGAGCTTCCCAGCCTTCTGAGGTGGCCTTCTCCTTCTCACTTCCCCCCTCGCTCACCGCCGATTGGCGGGGGCCCCGATAGGTGGCGACATCCGAACCCGACGACGACGACGACGACGACGACGACGACGACGACGACGACGACGACGACGACGACGACAGCGACGACAGCGACGACAGCGACGACGACGGCACCACCAAGCATCGATTCTCCCTGACTCGACGGGAGGCAAGGGTGGGGGTTCGGATTTCACCACGTGCTTGGCGAATTCGGAACCCTACCCCCACCGCCCATCGAATTGCCTGAACCGTTTATCTCCGACGGCCGCCGTGGAGGACTCAAGGACTTCTGCCGTGCCCCGACTCGCGCTGGAGCGGCCTCGATTTGCCATGAATTCCCGTGGGGATCTCTGACGTGCCCGGTCTTACCGGGCTTCGCAATGATTTACCTCGATGTACCTGCGCGTGCCTTGATTTATCCGGCTTCCAGCCCTCAGGGAAGGCGATCCGATTTTCTCAATCTGGGCACTTCTCCTCGACTTCGCCCTCTGGGGCCGTCAACGAGCCCCGGGGCTATCCAGAACGGATCCGGGACAGAAGTCTGGCCCCGGGGGAGGGGTCGGGACCTCCTAGGGCCGCGCATGGTTAAAAAAAGGTCGTCGGATATCTGGGAAGATTGCCGAAGCCGCTGCTGCTGAGAGCCCGGCCGTGACCCGAGAGGTACCTGGGCCAGGGTCCAAGATAGAGACGTAGAAGGAGGAGGAGGAGGAGGAGGAGGAGGAGGGCGGAGGGTGTTTGCATTTTGCGCCTACCAGCACCTGAATCGCTGGACACGGAGAGGACATGTCGAGATAAGAGCGGGTAGCAGCAGGAGCCTCGGTCGACGGGAGGTGCAGCCGGGATGGGTAAGACTCGCTTGCTAGCGATCAACAAACCGGGTGCCATAGTTGCCCCGCGTTTCGTCCACTCTGCCCGCGGCTGCATTTGGAGCTGGCATCATGGAAGGAGCTCCCTCTGAAGGGCCCTGCTGGCGCTACCTTGCCAACATCAGACAGTGATATCCAGGTGTAGAACCTTACACCTGCGGCGGCCTGCTCTTGAAACACTATCTAGATCATCTCGCCCGCTGCATCCAAGAGTCGGTCCACTTCGGCGGCGTACCCTGTGTAGAATTGCTTGTTGACCGCGTCGCACAGCGCATACCCCTGACGACCGATCGGCACGAATCGTGGGATTCTTCTTGCCGCCCCTCCAGAACCATGAAGCACGTCGTGGTCATCCGATTTCTGGTCCTTCGTCCCCAGGAACTCCTCAGTTTCGGCCAAGCGGCCTGTCCCAGCATCCCATGGTGCATGTGAATGACATGCCTCGTCGCCTGGGCCGCTCTGCCCGCGATGTGTACGGTCCCTCGTGCGCTCGGTCGCATGGTCCTTCTCATCGATGAAGTCGTCTAGGAAGATAGCCACAGGGGGCCAGAAAACCATGGCCGCCCAAAATGGGCGGCCATGGTTTGTCTGGCCCCCTGTGGCTTAACACACGCACGTCCAAAGCGGCCCAAGACAAACACCGGTGCCTGGCCAAACAAACCATGGCCGCCCAAAATGGGCGTTATGTATATATATATATATATATATATATATATGTACACACACGTCCATAGCGGTCCAAGACAGAAACCGGTGCCTGGCCGGTCTAGCGCGAAAGACCACCAAAATTGTAGTCCGCTGCACACTGTCCGCAACACAACACAACATGCTCATAATAGAAATTGTTTAAAAGGGCGGCGGGGTAGCAGTCAGCCTTTTCCGCGATGGTAACTTCACACGTCCGAAGTGTCATCGGTCCTTGGTGAAGAGAGTGTCACCCTTGGTTCGAAGTGGTTGGCCCTGCATGAACAATGGCTCCCCTGTGGCACTGGGTCGTCACGTCTCCGAGTTTGTATGAGCTCGTTCGCGTCGTATTTCAGCGCGTGGCATTTGAGACATTCTGGACCGGTGAGAACTCCAGGCGTGCTGCCATCGACACTTGACATCTGATGAACTCGATCGTATATTGGAACCGTCGCCTACGACGATCCAATTCTCGTGATGAGACTTGAGCTAAGATGTGAGAAATCGTCGGCGACGTCTGTGAGCGGAACCTTCCCACCTGCTGCGTGCCGCTCACAATCACCATCCTTGCAAACTCCATCCTTACTGACTCTCCCCGCAACCTCCGATACGATGGTGGCATACTCCGCGTCCGCCTCGGCCAATGCCGTCTCCATCTGCTCGGCGCACGCTGACTGGGTCTTGACCCAAGCCTGGTATGTATCCAGATTGCCCACCTCGAACTTCTGGATGCGGACGTGGCACATTGGTGTACTGTTGCGTTGGATCGTGTACATCGTTCGTACTTGTCTCGGTCGGATGCAAGAAATTAGTCCATGGTTCGATCCATCCCACCCTTGTATGGCTTCTTGCAAACATGCCTCGTAATACACGCATCCAGAAGTTAGCCAAGCGGAAATGTTGCGAATGCTGTTCCACACCAACCTTTCCTGACATATTGAATGTCTCGCCTGAGACTTCAATTGTGACAATACGGATGCGGTAAAACGAGCTGGAGCATTATATGGCCAGTGGTGACAAGGCGAAACACTACAACGCTAGAGCCGCCACAACCACCACAAGACACTACATAACCGCAGAGGGGTGATGCGGACATCACGGCAAGAGCTCCATCTTGTATCGTCCACAACCGAATCGCCCATCACAAATGCCACCTAGTGACGGGCCACTTGCTCGTACATCGCGCCCATGTGCCCTTGGATTCATAGAAGCTGGGGCCAGTGAGGTACAAGACAAGCCCTTTGCATTTCGAAATGGAAATGCCATTGCGGTCAAAGCTGACCATCACCAGAAACTTTCATATACTGGAGCGAACTTGATCTGGTAGGGCCAGGCCGCTGCACCAGCTATGTGACACGGAAATGCGCCGACCCTGTCAACGTGTGTGAGAGAAAACGTCGTCGTCGCGGTCGGTGCTCCCCTTTTCCATTTGAAAAGACGTCGTCGTCGTCGTCGCCGCTCTCCCCCTTTCCCTGGGACAAACGGAAATCCAACAACGTTGTCATCGAATCGATGGGAAGCCCCTTCCCGTTGGTCCCTTCCCCGCCAGGGGGCGGGGGGGGGTCCTGGGAAAGTTTCCGCGGGGGGGGCACCGGGCAGGTTCCGAGGGGGGTCCCGACGAGGGGGGTCCCAGGGGCGTGGTCCAGGGACGGGTGGGGTCCGGGAGGGCCTGACCCCTCCCCTCTCCGACCGAGACGGCCCAAGGGAGCCTGACAGAGCCGCGAGAGGGGAAACACACATCGGTCGAAGGAACGGCTCGATGGGGGGGGGGGTCCCGGGAAGGGATCGCTTGGAGCGGTCCCGGGGGTCCTGGGATGGGGGTTCAGAGGCCAACAGGGCCACCAAGGACCCCCACGAGGGATTGCGAGCGTCGTCGTCGTCGTCGCCGTCTTCTTCGTCGTCCCCCTGCAGGGTCGCCGGCAGCCCGGCAGCGGCCGTAGAGCCTTCGCAACATTGACTGTCGTCCGTCGATGACCGATACCTGGCGTCGGTTCTGGGGGACCTTTCGATCGTCGACACCGCTGGTATTTACAACATGTTGCCGATCGTTGTGCTACAGAAATTCTAGGCGAACTACATGAGCATCAACTCGCTCTTCCGATACCCTGTGGCAAGGTAAGGGCGTGTTGAACCGGTACAGACCTTCAGGGTCAAATCCTCGACGCAGCGGGGCGGTGCGTGCAAATCCTGATAGCGCATTGAATATAAAAATGGCGCGAGATCGGGACAAAATTGGATCGGGATAACTCGAAATCTCTGAGAATCGGCGGGTTTGGAGGATGTATTGGGCGCCGCGGCCGCTCCAGAGCGTTCCGGAACGCTCTGAGAGCGCTCCGGAACGCTCTGGAGCGATTTATCCCGATCCTAGCCCTGTTTTAAATATTGAACCGGCTGGGCCTCGAAGGCAAGGGGGGACAAGGGGGATGGCGGTGGAGTCGGAGGCGCACGGGATCGGTCGGTCGGCCGGCCACGGCAGGATCCGCCATCTGGTCTCTGCCCAGAGTGGTGGGAACACCGATGGCCAGCCCTCGTTGTCAGGACAAGGAGGACGAACCGAAGGACGCTGGACGAAGGACGCGAACGAGGGAAGAATGGGAGGGGAAGGAGGCAGGAGGAGCCAGGAGCCAGGAGCAGGGAGGAGGGAGCAGGGGGGAAGGGAGGAAGGAGGAGCACGAAGCAACGACGAAGGAGGAGCGGTGCTGCCTGGCAGGGAAGAAGAAGAGGGGGAGGGGGGGAGGAGCCTCCTCGGGGAGGACCTCCGGCCAACCCCTCCCCAGGCCAGGCAGGCGCGCCGAGACGGGCCACGGCGGGCCACGCCGGGGTGCGCCAGCCGGTCGCCGGCCGAGGCAGAGCGCAGCTCGACCCTTCCTGGCAGCAGGGTGCGGAGGGCCTCCGCTGGGCGGGAGCGAGCGCTGGGCTGGGGCGGTGGAGACTCCACGACTCGGGTGTTGCTAGGAGTACCCCTGGCCCAAGGTACCCCCAGGATTCTCGGGATGGTCCAGGCGGCCTTCAGGGCACCCCTCACGAGGCCCAGAGGGCCCCAGGGGCTCCAAAATGGAGCGAAAAGCTGGGGGCACCTTGGGCCAGGGGCACTTCTGGCAACACCCGAACAACCGAGCTGAGGCTGCTGCGCCAAAAAGGGCGTGGTCTATCGCACCCGGGGGCGTCGAGGCGGCAGCAGAGCGGTGGCTCGGCTGCCAAGCGGACCAGCGGGGGCGGCGAGGCTGGGGTTGGGCTGGGGGGTCGCACGCAGCATCCCCAAACCAAATTCACAACTGCCGCAGTCAAATGCGCCAAGGCCCACCAGCATGCCACAAGGACGCCCACCCCGGCAGTCTGACCTCTCACAAGATGAAGCCGATGGATACCTACTGGAACAGGGGATGCACGTGAAGAAAATAGTTCTTTGGCTCCGCGCGGCTGCTAGGGCCCCAGGCCCTGCAGGCACTGGAAGAGGTCCGCCTGAGAGCTCAGAAACCCCCGCAATGGGCACACGGCACCTCACCCGCTTCCGGCCTTGACCGTCGCGAGGGCGAGAAAGCCGCCCACTATGAGCGCCGAGCCGGCGAGCCCGGTTTCGTCGAAGCTGTCCCCGTGGAAAACTGAATCGACGACGAGGGCTGTCGGGATTGTCAGCGCGCACGCCACAGCGGTCAGCAGCGGGGAGGTCCGCACCACTGCCAGGCCCAGGAACAGGTTGAACGTGGTGGCGAGCGCGGCGTTCACGCACAGGCCCCGGATGGCAGCGCCCGAGGGCAGCTCGGGCACCTCCGCGAGAGGCCCCCGCGCGGCGCTGATCCCGAGCAGCAGGGTGGCAGGCCAGAGGAGGGCCAGGTTGGCTGCAGACACGAGCGACAAGAAGAGGTTGGTGGTCAGGACGTCGAGGCCATCCACTTTCAGCGCCCTGTCGAAGAACACCTCATAGACTGCGTACCCCATCGCAGCGAGCATCACGAAGGCGTTGCCCACCATCTGCTCGCCGCGCGAACCTGGGTGGAGCGACGCCTTGTCCGACCCTGGATCCCTGCTGACCACGAATACGCCCAGCATGGTGGCGGCCATCGCCAACACATGCCTGGCCGAACATTGAGGCTCGCCCAGCAGCAGCTGAAGCACAGCGACCCAGCAGCCAGAGGTATTGAAGATCGTGGTCCCCGTGGCAACCGACGTGTGCGGCAGACCCACGTACCACAGCCAGTCGGCCAGCAAGAACACACAAGATAGCCAGACGGCGTTCAGGGGCAGGAGGCCGCCAGGCATCGCTTTCCTCAGCCTCGCCATGCTCTCGGCAGCGCTGCCGCCGCCGAGCAGAGTCAGGGGGAACACCAGCACACCCACCGAGTGGTTGAACCATGTGATGGCCATGGGCTTGTTGTAGTGCTCCACCTGAACCAGCTGGCACACTTCCGACTGCGCCACCCAGGTCAACACCAGCCCAGCCAGGTACGCGCAACCGCGCAGGTCGAGTCTGCCCTCCCCCCCCGCCGCGGAGCCGAGCAGCGCCTGCTCCATCGGCAGCCCCCTGGCCCTCCCCTCGGCGGCGAGCCCACCAGGGGGGGAAGGCGAGAGGGGGGGCGGGCCCCCTCGTAAGGCTCGGCGGGCCTCCGGCCCTCTGCACTCTCCGAGGACCCTCCGAGGCCGGAGACGGCCTCTCAGCAGGCCGAGGGGGCCTTCGGAGAGGCCCCGCTGCCTCTCTGCGAGGGCCCGCCCCCGCTCTCTGACGTCTCCCCCCCCCCGGGCTCGCCGCCGCTCCCCTCCCTGCCTTGGCGCACGGGGCAGCTTCAGCTCTCTGTGCGGGTCGCGCGGCGCAGCGCCACCATCTCGGCGCCAAGGCCCCCGTGGCTCGGACGTCCATGTCCCGTGCACTTGTCGTTTTCGCCCGTGCTTTTTCATTTGTACTTTTGCTCGATGGTCCAGGATGGTCCTCGATGGTTCTCGCCGAGGAGAAATGCACACGTCCGAGCGATGCCACCGCCCCCCCTCGGCGCCAGCGTCGCCCGCGGCTCGCCCCGGGCCCCTGCAGCCCGACCCTCCTCGCCGAGAAGAGCCGAAACGCACGACGGGAGCGGTCTCGCCTCCCCGCCACGCCAGTCGTGTGCCCCCCTCGCCTGCGAGCCCCCCGGGGGCATCTGCATGCCAGAGAGCGAGCCGGGAGCAGCATCCGCCTGGATTCGCCGAGTCGCCAAGGTCGGCCAAGGGGGACAGAGCGGCCGCGACGCGATGGCCCGAAGAGATGGCCCCACATCATCTCAGCTGACGATTTACCCTTCTGCCAGACACGCATGAAAGAGCAACCGCTGGATATGGATCCCCCGCCGTTGTCTCGAGGCACGATGTGGGGTACCATGAAATCGACGCTGTCCCTCCAATCGTGTCGAGCCTCTACTCAACGTCCCTCCAATCCTAAAAGCTGTCACGAAGCGCAGACACTGGCTCAGGGAGGGCCAGGAATTCCTTGGGTGTTGTCGAAGCTTGTCGCCCGACCAGCTCCTGAAGCCCGGAACCACAGCTGAGAATACAAGTCTCGGGAACGGTCCAAGACGGCCTCAAGATGGCACAAGATAGCCCGAGCTGCCCCCCAAGACCGCGTGAGATACCCACCTCTTCCTAAGGTGGACACCAGGATGGCCCAGAGAGGCCCCATGATGGCTCCAGGATGGCTCCCAGGAGGTCACGGGGTATCCAGAGGAAGCCCCAAGATTGCCAAAATCATCAAAACCTACCACTGTGCCACTGGCACGCATACGCCCGAGATGGGTACAGAAAGATGGGCACAATGCCCAACAACAAATGTTGTCCAAAAGCGACAGCGGCCTCCGTCGGGCAGGCGCCTTGCTCTCTCAAACAGACAACGTCCGCGGCGACACCGACAGCTAGTGCGGCTCAGAATAGACAGGAACTGCTCTCCGTATTTGTCCCCATTCTTTTCGTACCCACTTCGATCGTGCGGGGTAGTGGAGTGGTCTCAGGTCCTTCAAAAGCATCCACGTGAAAACAATCGTAAACGCGGGGGTCCTCCAGAGCCTTCCAGAGCTACGAACCTCTCGGGCCCAAGGGCTTCTGCGAGCTCTCGAAGACTCCCAAGCCGTTCCCCGAACAGCTCCGCTGACTGCGGCTAAACTTAGGTTGGGCATGTCCCCCCTACAGGGGGATTTTGGACGAACATTAAAACATAGATAAAGCATGCCCCGACATAGTCAATCATAGTAAAACAAATCCTCCCCAGACTATTCTTTCCTGATTTTATAATATTCCTCCTGTAGTGGGACAGGCCCGACTTACGGCTACACTGTGGAATGGGCCAGCTCTTCCTTGCCGAGCGACGGGCGCCCGGCACTTCGTTGGAGAAATCCTCAGAATTCCGGCTGGCGCACGGCGCTTCACGTTAGACATCCTCAGAATTTCAACAGTGCGCGATGCGAAATCCATCGGCGCTTCCCATGAGACATCCTCAAATTTCCAACAGTGCGCGAGGCGAAGTCCTCAAAATCCAACAGTGCGCGAGGCGAAATCTTCAAACATTCCAGCAGTGCGCGTGGCGGTCCAGCCAGCCCGCTTCGCCGAAGGCATCCTCGCAACTCTGGCCTCCGAGGTGCCGCACGTGAGGTGGTCAAGCCCGTTTCAGCTGGGACACCCTCGCAACGCTGGGCTCCAAGATGCCTCGAGGGCGCGGGGTGGTCGGACCCGTTTCGCCAGAGACGTGCTCGCAAGTATGAGCTCCGAGATGACGTGTGCGCGGTGCCAGGCCCGTTTTGTCTGAGACATCCTCGCAAATATGGACTGTCAGAGGGAAGGAGGGAGCGGGTCTGGGCGCTTCTGACAAGACACCTGTTGCGAGGCATCTCGGAGCCCAGTGTTGCAAAGATGCCTCAGGTGAAACGGCCCCGACAACCTCGAGCGCGGTATTTCGGAATCCACATTTGCCAATCTATCTCGAACAAAACGGGCCAGACCACTTCGCGCACGGCAATTCGGAGTCCAGAGCCGCGAATGCGTCTGTGCGAAACGGGCGCGACCACCTCGCATGCGGCATCTCAGAGTCCAGCGTTGCGACGATGTCTCAGGCGACACGGACCAGACCACCTCGCGCACGGCCCGAATTTGGAAGATGCCTCACGCAGAACCTGGGCGCCGGCCGGAATCTGGAGTATGTCTCTGGAGAAACGTGGGCGCCTGGTCAGAAAGTGTTCATACCACAGCAGGACACCAGGCAGCGGAGCTGTGTGGGCACAACGCTCCTTTGCGCGATGCTATAATTCTCGCCCCTGTCGGCGGTCGGCATCAAGAGCGTCCGAGGTGCCCCCCAAAACCACTCAGAAAGGTCCCAAGGCGGCCCCCGAGATCACCAAGAGCGGACCAATATACTATTCTCATTTCCGCGTAACGATCGTTGTCCCGGGGGGGAAGGCAGCTAACCGTAACGCTAGGGGTATGTTGCTCCCATCGTACTTAAGGACCACATCCCAGAAACAATTTCGAGCACCCGAACAGGTGTCAAAAGAGCCGAAACAATGGCGGACGAGTGTCTCCCAGGGCCCGGCACGTGAACACCCTCGAGTTTCGGTACTGTCTTGGTGCTCAAAATTCTTTCTGGTGATCAAGGTTTCAAAATAGATTGGAACATCAGAACGCTAGGGCGGGGTGGTGCACGTTGGGGCGGGGGCGCGCTGCGATCACCGTAGTACTCGTGCGAGCACCCCGTAATGCCTGTGAGCACCACGAATGCTTGCGATCCGACCACCTGCGCAACGCCGGAAAGCACCGGCATGGCGCCTGCGAGCACTGGCGCCGGCTCTGGCGAGCACTGGCAAGGCTCCCCCAAAAACGCACAATCGCTACTGTTGCCAAGGGGGCTTGGCCAGGCCAACGATCGTTGCGCGCCGGAGGATGAACAAAAAAGGATCCAAGAGTGAAGAGCCCTCCAGAAGCCCCCAGAGGCGCCCAAAGGGCCTTCAAAAGGTTCCCAAGAGAACGCGCGGCACTCAACAGGCCCCCCATAGGCTCCGAAGTGGCCCACATCCCAATAAGCGGAATTCTTGCGGCGTTTCTGAGGACGTGTCGAAAAGCGTGTCATGATGTGCACAGGGCCGTGCCTGGGGCCGCGCCTAGGGAGGGCCGCCATGGAACCCCCAAAGAGGAAATCGAGGAAAAGGTAGAGGCACGGTATGGGTACCCTTTCGTCTTCTGACTGAGGGCGTCTGGGGACGTGCGAAGTGGCGCGTCGGGGGGCGTGCCCCATCGGCAAAGCTTGGGGCACCGCCCCCGCGCGCCGTGCCCCCAGTGCCCGCCCTGCTGCCGCGGCCTTGCCCTCCGAGGTGCCGCGGCCCCAGGGAGGTCGGAGGGCGGGCGGGGAGGCCGTGCCCAGGGGGGGGCGCACCGCCCTCGCGGGGCGCGCAGGGCCCAGGCTTCAAAACGAAACGTGGCGACTCCCCGAGGGGGGAGAGACCGCGCGGTCCCGTTAAAGGGCGTCTTAGCCCGCGCGGCCTGGCCGCACTCCGCGAGGTCGCTGCGCATGGCTCGCGAGCAGCTCTGTGGCTTCAGCCCCGTTGGCGTTCACTCTGACCAACGGCCCGAAAACTGCTGAGTTGCCGAAGTGCGGTCGGGCCATGGCTGCGTGGACTCGGGGCCACGGGTTTCGCCGCGACTTATCTCAAAATGAAGATGATGCGTGAAAAACACGTGACCAGACATGGCCGCAGTCACTACACATCCCCCATTGGAAGATCCAGCCACGAGGCCGACATCTGATACCTTTTCATATGCGAAAATGCACGCGCGCGTACAAACAGAAAACAACCCCTGACGATCATATTTTGGCACGATTAGATCCTTCAGCATAATGCCATGTTGTTCTCTCTCTCTCTCTCGCTCTCTCTCTCTCTCTCTCTCCGCCAAGACGAAGCCAGGACAACGACCAAAAAACAGGAGGAGGAGCAGGAACAGGAGAACGAAGAGGGGGGAGGAGAAGCGGGCTACCCGCCGCTGCCGCCGCCACGCACAGCCCTGCACCGGGCAGCGCCGCAGAGCCGGCACTGCGCGGCGCCAGACTGCGCGGGCACCGCGTCCAGCAGAGCGCGCGCCACGCCCAGGGCAAGCCGGACGGTTATGAGCGTCCGCCAGCGCGCTCCCGAGCTCTCGCTCTCGCTCCCTCTGGCACGAGCGCTGCTACCGACTGCCGTCGGGCGGCGAGCGGCTGCTTGGTCGGAGCGCTCCGCGGAGCGCCGGCCGAACGACAGCGGCGGACGCGAGCGGCGGGCGCGAGAGAGCGCTCGCCCGCCTCCGAGCGGTGCGAGGAGCGGAGCGCGCCCTGCTTCCGTGCGCGTCGCGTAAGTTTGGGTGACCCAAGAGGGGGTCCAGCTGAAAGGGGGGTGGTGCAATAGATGTTGGGCAATTATATTGCACATGCACTGCGCCAAAGAATTGTATTATATTGTATTGCTGCAAATGGTGTATTGCACGCGCCCTGGAATGTATTGCACCCCCAAAATGTACCGCAACCCCACAAATCTATTGCATTGCGCCAAGTCTATTACAATCCCCCCCTTGTCGCTGAACCCTATTTGGGGCCAGCCCGAATAAGTATAACAATGACCCCTCCCGCATGTGAGCCCCGAAACACCCCCAACAAACCCTCAGGAGCCCCCCAAGAAACCCAACAATTGCTTCCGATACGGTCGTGGAATGCAGTCCTGGACGCGCAGTAGCTTACAGAGGGGTCGGCGGATGTGGCGTAAGCCTATAGAATCAGCACGTGAGCCCCAAGACCACACAACGACTGGAGTGTACTGTAATTCCCCCCCCCTGGGCGAACTGCGGCGCAGCGCCAGCCAGGTGGAAGTTGGTCACGGCGGCGCCCATGATTAGAGCCGCCGCCGAAAGGGAAGATGGGGAAGGAGTATGAGAAGGAGGGGGGGGAGAGAGGCCCCAAAGAAATCCCCAAGAGGCCCAAAGAAACTCCGAAGAGGCCTCCAGGAGGCCATCAGGAAGCTCCCAAGAGGCCCCGCGACGACCCCGCGAAGCGAGAGGAATCAGCACGTGAGCCCCTTGGAGCCACTGGGGCCCCTGGTGACAAATGCCCCCCTCCCTCCCTGTCCCCCCTGGGGCGCTGCTCCCCCTCTGCGCGGATGTCTCCCCCGGGCGCTTTCCCGGCGGAATCCTGCCGAGCACTGCGGGGTCCCTGCGAATCCGCAGGTGGTGTCCTCTAGGGAGACCTGCGCAGAAACCAGGAGGAAGCCAGGGCACCCCGAGGATCCCTGAAGAGTCTCGCGGACCCCTGGGGAGGCCTGCGGAGCACTGAGGAATGCCAGGACTCATGAGGACTCCTGGGGAATCCTGAGGAATCCTCAGGAGCATTGTGGAATCCCGCGGGGCCCGGTGGACTTCTGAAAAAGCCTGCCGAATCCAGAGGAACACTGGGGAACCCCGTGGAATAGATGGGAACCCTGAGGAATCCAGGAAGAACTTCGGACATATTCAAAACGCTGCGGAACCCTCAAGATGTATGAGGAACCTAGGCACTCTTGACAAATCCTGAGGGGTCCCAGGAAATCCTGAAGAGAATCATGAGGAAGCCTTGCAATCGAGATTCCTTCTCATGTAGACGCCCCCCCTCCCCGCGTCCTTTCGAACCCATGGGGATCCTGAGGAAACCTGTGGAACCTTCTAGAAACCAGAAAGCCTGAGGATCCCTGATGAGTCTCGCGGAACCTTGCAGAAGCCTGAGGAGCTCTGAAGAGTACGACAACTCCTGAAGAATCCTGCGGGTCCCTGGGAAATGCCGAAGAATCTTCAACAATCCTGGAGAATCTTATGGAATCCCGTGGAATCTGAAGGATTCCTCCGGAAGCCTGCCGAACCTTGCGGAATGCTGGTGAACCCTACGGAACCCTGAGGATTCTTGCAAGATCGTCGGACAAACTGAGGAGCTCCGCGGAAACCTGAAGGGGCCTGAGGAATCAGGGGGAATCCTCTGACACGCCTGAGGGGCACCAGGGAATCCGAATCCTGACAAACTCGGAGGAAGCCTCTCAACTGGAATTCCTTCTCGTGCAGACCCCCCCCCTCACGCCACTCCCCGCGAGGAGGTCGCGCCGCGAGACCCCGCCGATGCGACGCAGCTGCGCCCCCCGCGCAGAAGCGTCGTTCCATGCCCGTCGTCGGCGCGGCGGAGCTGCGCCACAACCCCGCGCGACGACGAGCGCGCGCCCAGTCGCGCAGCTGGGCGCGAGGCGCCGCGCGCCCGCGGAGCGAGGCCCCCCTCGCGAAACACGCGGCCCGGGACTGCCGGCGAGGGGACGCCGCTGCGCCGCCGCGCACGGCGCGGCGCGCGCACCAGGGGACCCGTCGCGGCGCAGCGAGGCGCCAACGCCCGGCACGGAGCGGGACCCCTGCGTTCTGACATGAACTTCGCGACGCGCGCCCCACATGACCAGTTGGGCAGCAATGCACAATATATGTATGTGTATATATACACACACACTCCAATCGCAGAGCGAGGCTCCGATACCCAGTCACTCCCGCCATGCTCCCCCTTTGGAGGAGGCCGCCAGGGGGCCGAGGCGAGGAGGGAGCTGCTTCTCTCGGGCGGATTCCGCGGCAGGTGTGAAGGGGAGGGTGGATCAACGGGCAGCGCGAGCACGCACGGGAGCACCACGCCCCCAACAGTCCTGGAGGGGGCGGGATGCGTGCACGCGACTACTGCACGTCTCTCTCTCTCTCTCTCCCTCTCTGACGCTCTGACACTCTGGCAGACTCGTGCCAAAACTGAGCAGAACACACATTGTGTCGCGCGCAGCCTAATATGCAAAAACCGAGGGCAACAGTGCCTGGACACCGCAACCAAAACAGATGAACTGGTGTACCACCCCCTGGCCCCCACTTCTCGACAAATGCGGTCTTCCTGGAGACCACGCCTCCCTCTGATCAAAGCCTCTCCCTGAGACCAGACCTCTCCGAGGTATGCTCGCCAGACTTGCGAAAGAGACATCTCAGGACAGTGCACGCATGTGCGCTAGTGTGTGTTGCTGGGGCATCCGTCGTGACGCGCACGCTTTCTGCTCCCAGGCGGGCCCCCGCGACTGTTGGTGACGAAGCCGCACTGCCAAGCACGGCGGCTGCAGGCTGGGTCGCCTTGCGAAAGGCGGGGAGCCGTGCTCATGTCCCACTTACCCCTCCACATGTTAAAAGAAGGCGAACGGAAGGTAATGGAGGACGGGAAGAAGAGTAGGCAAGTGTAACTATGGTCATGTGACGGGCCTCCCTGATGAAGCGCTACCAACGGTTGCGGGTGTCAGACAATGAGAAGGTGTGCATGCACGCCAAAGGAACAATCAAAACACCGTTCTACCCGAAATTACGCCATTGTGTAAGTCGAACTCGCTGGACCCTGCTCAAACAAGAACTGCTGGAAAACAGATGTCGGAGAGAAGGTTTCATTCGGTGAGCGCACAGAGCAGTGTGGAACCTTGGAGGGTATGATAGGTCTACGGCATGGGAGGACGGCGCGCTGTGAGTCGAGGGGTGCAGGTCGCCATGCCTGGTGTAAACTCGCATGCGCCTGGACCGCACAACAAACACAAACACAAGATCCTCGATCGTCCCGCACGCTGGCTGCAAAGCTGCCCCTGCAAGGGGTGACGCACATTGCCAACCGCACCCAAAAAGGGGCCGCCCTGGGGCAGCGCGCGGAGCGAGGAAGCCCCGGATATCCTCACGAAAAGCAGATGGTCTCTTGCTGCGCGCCCCCCCCCCCGCATGCCTCGTGAAGATAGGGGGGCGGCAGGGCAGGACGAGCGCGAGCGAGGGGGGCACGGGCACGGCTGCGCTTCGTGCCAGGTGCGCCTTGGTGCCACCGCGCGCAGCCCGCACCGGGCCCTGCACCAGCAGCAGCCGCAGCGCCTCCGCCTGCTAGGAGGGACGAGAGGAGGAGGGGAGGGGGGGGCAGAAGGGGAAGCACAGCAGGAGCCCGACCACAAGACACCCTCCACGAGAAACCCAACCCTGAGACACCAGGGCGTCCATCGATTTTTGGTGTGGGAACGTCACGCTTTCCATTGCAAAGCCATCGAAACCCAAGAAACCCAGGACACCCTGAAAGCAAGCAGGGTGTTTATTGGCATGAGTTTCCACTGTACTGGATGTGTGTTCTTCTTGGGCCTTGCAAAAAGTCCCCAGTGGCCCCCCAGCCCAATCCTCCGACCACCCAAAAAGAGTGGCTTTCATCGACACTTGCGCCCTGGATGGTCCCAAAAGGGCCTCCGAGATGGCGAAGCTGGCGCAAGATGGCCTCGACGTCTGCATTGGCCTACAGAGCTTCCGACAGCCTCCTGAAAGACGTCCAAGATCGTCCCGAGACGGCCCAAGAGGCCCCGTAGAGGCTAAAGACGACCTCGAGACGGTCCAGGATGGCCTCCAGGACAGCCGAGGTGGCCTCCAGGTCGGTCAAGACTGCCCTGACAGCGTCAAAGACAATCCACGATGCCCTCCGAGACGGCCAAGATGGCCCACTATTGGAGGCGCGCAGAGGGGGCATGGAGAGGGGGGAAGGCGTCTTAGAAGGAGGCTGCATCTTAGAAGGCGCTTGCCTTACATCTACAGACAAGGCCACAACCTTCTGAGGGCCTGAGTGCAGAAACCTTCCCGCCTCCCCCTACCCCCCTCTGTGCGTGGCCGGCAATATGGCTCCAAGATGGCTACGAGAGGCCACCGAGAGAGCCGAGAGGCTTCTGGGAGGCCTTCAGGTGGCCCCCAGAGGCCCCAAAGGGGCCTCCCAAGAGGTAACACATGGTGTTCGCCTCAGGCTTGTCCAGTCGTGTTGGCGCTCCCGGCCTCCAGGGCTTCCGATAGCCTCCTCATGCCCAAGACAACCCCAAAGGCCCCCAAGAGGACCGCAAGACGGCCGCAAGACGGTCCAATAGGGCCTCCAAGACGGCCAGTATGGCCCGTAATGAGCGCCAGGACGGGCCATATGGCCTTCAAGGCGGCCCAGACGACCCAATACACCCTCCAAGACGGTCCAACGTGCCCTCCAAAACGGCCAACATGGCCCTAAGATGGCTCCATATGGCCCGCGAATACCCCCAGACAGCTCAACAGGCCTCCTAGACGCCCAAAGAAGTCTCTAAGTTGACCCCCAGAAGGGCGCCACGAGGTACAAATCCGAGATTTCACGCACATTGTTCAATGGTATTTGCGTCATTGGCCTACAGAGCTTCCGACAGCCTCCTGAAAGACGTCCAAGATCGTCCCGAGACGGCCCAAGAGGCCCCGTAGAGGCTAAAGACGACCTCGAGACGGTCCAGGATGGCCTCCAGGACAGCCGAGGTGGCCTCCAGGTCGGTCAAGACTGCCCTGACAGCGTCAAAGACAATCCACGATGCCCTCCGAGACGGCCAAGATGGCCCACTATTGGAGGCGCGCAGAGGGGGCATGGAGAGGGGGGAAGGCGTCTTAGAAGGAGGCTGCATCTTAGAAGGCGCTTGCCTTACATCTACAGACAAGGCCACAACCTTCTGAGGGCCTGAGTGCAGAAACCTTCCCGCCTCCCCCTACCCCCCTCTGTGCGTGGCCGGCAATATGGCTCCAAGATGGCTACGAGAGGCCACCGAGAGAGCCGAGAGGCTTCTGGGAGGCCTTCAGGTGGCCCCCAGAGGCCCCAAAGGGGCCTCCAATGAGGCGACGTCATCGTCCACATCCTCGCCCGAATCCTCCCTTCATTCCTTTTTTCCAAACAATCCTGTGGTGTTGGGTCCTCGTTTTGAAGAGGCAGCGCCCCGCGTTCCTCTCCTCCTCTGCTCTCCTCCTCCTCCTGCTCCTCCCTCCTCCCGTCACCCCACTCACTTTGGCACACCCATCGCACGCTTCGTGAACCCAGAGGGAGCTCCACCAAAGGTCCCAGTGGCGCAGTTAGCATGGGTCTCCCCCGCCAAGTACAACGTTTCGTGGCCCCAGAGGGGGATCCACCGATGGTCCCAGTGGCGCAGTTAGCATGCGCCCCGCCCCGCACAGTACAGCGCTTCATGGCTCCATAGGGAGCTCCACCGAAGGTCCCAGTGGCGCAGTTCGCATGCGCCCCCCCGCACAGTACAGCGTTTCGTGGCCCCAGAGGGAGCTCCACCGAAGGTCCCAGTGGCGCAGTTCGCATGCGCCCCCACGCCCAGTACAGCGTTTCGTGGCCCCAGAGGGAGCTCAACCGAAGGTCCCAGTGGCGCAGCTCGCATGCGCCCCCCTCTGACACGCTTCGTGGCCCCAGAGGGGGCTGCACCGCAGGTCCCAAAGCCGCAGTACGCATGCGTCTCCCACAACCAGTACACCGTTTCGTGGCCCAGAGGGAGCTCCACCGCACCGAAGGTCACAAGGGCGCAGTTCGCATGCGCCCCCCCGCACAGTACAGCGTTTCGTGGCCCAGAGGGAGCTCCAGCGAAGGTCCCAGTGGCGCAGTTCGCATGCGCCCCCTCCCCCCCCGCCCAGTACAACGTTTCGTGGGCCCAGGTGGAGCACCACCCAAGGTTCCAGTGGCGCAGTTCGCATGCGTCCCTCCACACAGTACAGCGTTTCGTGGCCCCAGAGGGAGCTCCACCGAAGGTCCCAGTGGCGCAGTTCGCATGTGCCTCCCCCACCCCATACAGCGTTTCGTGGCCCCATAAAAAGGGGCTCCACCGGAAGTCCCAATGGCGCAATTCGCATGCGCCCCCCTCCTAATACAGCGTTCCGTGTCCCCATCGGGAGCTCCACCGAAAGCCGCAGTGGCAAAATTCGCATGCGTCCCCCCACACAGGACAACGTTTCGTGGCCCATAAGGGGCTCCTCGGAAGACGATGCCCACAACTGCGGTACTCACAACTGCAGATGGTTGGGTTCTTCGCCAAGCTAATTTCCCACTCATCCTGTGGTGCTGGGTCCTCGTTCTGAAGACACAGCGCACCGCGTCTCTTCTCTTCCCGTCTGTTATCCTCTCCTCCCCTCTCCTCTCCTCTCATCTCCTCTCTTCTCTTCTCTTCCCTTCTCCTCCTCCCTCCTCGTCCCCCTCCTCCCTACTCCCCCTCCGCCGTCCCATGTTGGCACACCTCTGACGCGCTTCGTGGCCCTATAGGGGGCTCCACCGAAGGCCCCAATGACGGTGTCCACATGCGTCCCCCTGCTGGCATTTCGGCACATCCCTCACACGTTTCATGGCCCCTGATGGAGCCCCGCCGAAAACTCCGATGGCGGTGTCCAAATGCGTCCCGCCACAAATCTCGGAACACCCATCAACCGCTTCCTTGCCCCACTGGAAGCTCCACCGAAGGCCCAAATCGCGGTGTCCGCATGCGTCCCCGCCATCAATTTCAGCACACTCCTCACACGTTTCGTGGACCGATGGGGAGCTTTACCGAAGGCCCCAGTGGCGGTGTCCATATGTGTCCCCGCCACCCATTTCGGCACACCCCTCACAGGTGTTGTGGCCCCATAGGGAGCTCCACCGAAGGCCACAATCACGGTGTCCGAATGCGTCCCCGCCGCCCATTTCGGCACACCCCTCACACGTTTCGTGGCCCCATGGGGAGCTCCACGGAAGGCCCCAGTGGCGGTGTCCGCATACGTCACCGCCACAATTCGGCACACCCCTCACACGCTTAATGGCCCCATAAGAAGCTCCGCCGAAGGCCCCAGTTGTGGCGTCCACAAGCGATCCCGCCACCGATTCTGGTACAACCCTCACACGTTTCGTGGCCCCATGGGGAGCTCAATCGAAGGCCCCGGTGGCGGTGTCCACATGCGTGCCCGCCAAGCATTTCGGCACACCCCTCACAGGTCGTGGCCCCATAGGGAGCTCCACCGAAGGCCCCAGTGGCGGTGTCCGCATGCGTCCCCACCACGCATTTCGGCACACCCCTCACACGTGTCGTGTCCCCGTAGTGAGCTTCACCGAAGATCCCAGAGGCGGTGTTCGCAGGCGTCCCCGCCACGTAGTCCTGCACACCACTCACACGTTTTGTGGCCCTACAAGGAGCTCCACCGAAGGCCTCAGTGGCTCTGTTCGCATGCGACCCCCCCACCAATGATTTCGGCAACCCTCTCACACGGTTCGTGGCCCCATAGGGCGCGTCACCGAAGACGATGCTCAAAGCTGCGGTAGTTGCCAAGGATAGACCGAGAAGGCAAGGATGCAAGGGTACTCATGGGCAGGATGCCCACTCCCCATCCGTATTATGCGAGTAGGCTGTAGAGCACAAGAGGACGGCACAATGGCGGGACGGCCACCGCAACGACCGGCACCGCATGAACACCATGAGCATCGCTTGGCAGATCCGTCTCCCCACTGGCGTGGCCTCGGCCCCACTGGCCGGCTTACCCACCCAAGCGGGGTCGTGTGCCTGTTCCCTGGGTTTTCGCGGGGCCTGCCCCCCGCCTGGGAGGGTGGGCTGACAGGGCTGAGAGATACCGTGGCCCAGTGGGGATGTGGATATGCCCCAGGCTGCCCGAGGCAAGGCACGCGGACGTCGGCCCGATGCCAGATTCCAGCGCGCGGGAGCTGTCAGGTGCACAATGAAATCGCCCCCCCCCCCCGCGTTTACTCGATTGAGGCACGTGATGGTGGTGCTAGCGGGTGGGTGGTCACGGTAGTGGCGGCTACTCACTGTCGTGTGCGACGGCGGCTTTCAGGATTGACTTCCGCGGAAAGGGGTTATTCTTCCTTTTCTTCCGTTTCGTCTTCTTCTGTTCGTCCACATCCTTCTGCGTACGTGCATGTTTCCGCGTGTGTGACTGCGCGAGACGCTTTACATATTGAAGCCTAGCGCGGTAGATTACACGTGTACTCTCTGAATGGACTAACACAGACTGAAACAATTGATTTGATCCTCCAGAGTTTTTTCCAACCGCGCAACAACCTGGAGGGTCGAATCCACTATTCCGTGTTCTTCCTGGGACCTTTCTCCCAGCCCCCCGCCCCCGACCCCCTCGTCACACAAGGAGTACATAATGACAGAATGCTTTCTAAAGAAATCCTTGCTGAGAGATTCTTAGAGAAAGAATCCTTAAGGAGGAACTCTCACGTAAAGAATACTTTAGGTCCTTACTGAATGAAACCTTCCTCGAATAATCCTTGCTGACGAAATCCGTACAAAAAATCCCGAATACGGAATCCTTACCAGAAGGCTTACCAAACGGGGTCCCTCTGCCATGGTTTACAATCTAATTCCTTACGCTAGGCCCTGGAACGCTAGAACAGGCTGGAGACACCAAACAAAACAACAACACACTGCAACCAAGAATACTTGTTTCGGTCGGATTTCTGACAGGGGGTCCCTGACTAAGGAATCCTTGACCAGGATCCTTACTGGCAAATCCTTTACCCAACATGATGCATACGGACACCTGGCTGATGAATACTTAGAAATGCTCCTGCCCCTGGCTCCTCCAAATTCTCCTCCCTCTCTCCCTCCCTACCTGGTCTGGAGGGGGGTCTAGAAGCCAGAAAAACACGGGGCCAATGGACCAACAAATAGTGTTTGTTTACTTCGAGCCTCATCTCCAAAAGAGACACTGGGATCACTGTCAATTTTTTCCTCGAAGAACGTGCCCCCCCCCCAACCGGAGAGATAGGACATCCTTACTCAAAGAACCCGTACGAACAAGTGCTTCCCAAGATAATCCTTACCACTAAGCCATCACTCAGGAATCCGTGCTAAATCCATCGTTACCATAGTTCATATCCTGGTTGAGGAACCCTTGCGACGAAAACTCCAAGTTGTCTCCTGCTCCTCCCTACAAGGTCTCCTCACTCTCTCCCTCCATCCCTGGCCCTGGGGGGAAGAGAAGGGTCCAAATGCCCAACCACGTGCCAATGGAACCACTGCTTCAGGCACAACAGGAACAAACTAATCCGCTATGTTCATTGAGCCTGGACTCCCACCTCAGAGAGAGCGTGGAGCGAGGGGTATAGGAGGGCAGCAAGGGGGAGAGAGAGAGAGAGAGAGAGACAAAGAGAGAGATAAAGAGAGAGGGAGCGAGAAGGAGAGAGAGAAGGAGAGGGAAATCCCTGCCAAGGGACTCCTTGCTAAAGAAATCCTTAACAAAGAATCCACGCGACAAAACTGTCATGTAATAATCCTGAAGGAAAAACTACCATTACTGAAATTCTGAAACAATCCGTGATCAGGATTACCTTCCAAGCGGAATTCATGAATGTGATCCATCATAACACTCATTCCAAGGGGCTGTCGCTCAAAAGACTCAGTATCACGGACTCCTTACCAAGGCAACCGTACTGATGGATGGATTCCGTACCAACAAGATGAGATATGGCTTCTTATGCTGAAAGCTGGAACGGCAGAAACAGTAAGGGTTCCTTAGGATGGTCCCCCTGGCGAGAATGTCATAGGCTGTGTTGTTGCAGTAAGGATTATTGTAGCAAGGACTCCTTGAGTAAAGTTATCCCTTTAATAAGGGTCTTCTGCCCAAAGACTACTTGATGATGAGTTCACTGAGGGTTCTCCGTTAAGGATTCCTTCTGCAAGGATTCCTCGATAAAAACTCCGCCACAACGACTCCTTAAGAAGGAGTCCCTAAGTAAGGATCCCTTTCCGGAGGACGGGGTAAAACATCGTGATCGAAAGCAGCGAGGAGCAGAGATGAAGAAAAGGGATGCCATCACGAAAACCTTTGAAACCCGAGGCCCTGTATGTCCCCTGCATCCCCTTGGCGGCGCGCACCAGGGGGTTGAGGGAGGGGGGAGGGCTTCTTAGAACGAGGCTGCTTCTTAGAAGGCGCCGGCCTTACATCTATAGAGAAGGCCCGCGCCTTCTAAGAAGCAGGAGTGCTTCTAAGAAGCCCTCGCCCCTCCCCCCACTCCCCTCCGCGCGTGGCTGATTCCCCCCGAGCACTCCTCCGAATCACGTTGCATCGAGGATTTGCAACTTCGAACAGAAGATGCACGCGAGGCGTCGAGGGGGGCTCCCGTGGGGTCTAGAAAAGGCAGAGGGACGAAACCTGCCGTCGCTCGGACGTCCCTCCCCCGTGCATTGGCTGGTTTCGGACGCGTTTTTTCTGTGCGTATATAGAAATATACATACATACACATATACATAAAAAAGGTTAGACCCCCCCCCTTGGTAGGGGGAGGGGGGGGGTTCGGGAGGGGGGTTTTGGGGGGGAGGGGAGTCCCCCTGGTTTTGATCGACGGCGCAGAGTGTTGGGGGGAGGGGGGGGGGGGCACCCCCCGGTTCGAAACGCGCCGCCGAATGGCCCCTAGGCAAGCGCCCGTGAAACGCGTTCTCTCATACAACGAAAGATGACCCGAGATGCTCCAAGACGCCCCGATGCTCTGGCGCCGGACTCGACGAACAAAAAAGCCGCACACGCCCGAGCGCTGCCGAGGCACGCGAAGCCACGCGACGCCGAGCACAACAAAAAGACGCGGACCGCCGCAGGGGGGCAGCCCGCGTGGCCGTGCCGCCCGGAGCCCAGCCCCGGAGGCGCCTCCTCGGCCTCCTCCTCCGGCTCCGAGGCCGGGCAGCCCGCGCCGCCGGCGCCGCCTCGACTAGACGCGATAGTGACCTCTCGCAGGAGTGGCCTTTGGTGCGGGCACAGATGGGTCCCCAGCTGGCTGAAAACAGAACAGCAGCAGCTGCTTGCGCGCCCAGGTTCGGTCCCCCCGCGGCCCCCAAAAAGCCGCGCACCAAGGGTCACTCTTACCCAGGGTCACTCTTGCGTATAGCCGACCGCCCCAGGCAGGGAGGCACCGGCTGGGCTCGTCAAGCCCGAGGGCGGCGTCGCCGCACGCGACCAGGAGGAGCACCTCGGGGAGCCGTCGAGCCGTCCACCGGAGGGCCTCCCGACGCTCCGCCCGCAGCCTGCCCCGTCAATCTCGGCGCCGCTCCTGTGGTGTCCGCGGCTGCCCGCCACGAGCGGCTTGAAAGCCGGACGGGGCCATGGGGGTAAGCCGGAGGGTGGTGCCGTGCAGGGGCCAAGCTCATCGAGCGTTCGTTAATTGCTGCAGGGGTCGAAGGTTTTAGCACGGTGCAAGATCATGCTACATGTTTCGCAGTGGTTATAGGGGGGGTCAGCATGGGGTCGAGAGATGGAGGGACGAAGAAGGGAATTGGAGGAAGGAGAGTGGGCAGACGATCTGGGCGTTAGCAGTGGAAAGCAATAGCCCTACTTTGAACAATTGGGAGCTTCACACATCTCCGATTGTGTGTCGTTCTGCAAGGGCTGATCGTAAAATCACCCACGAAGGAAACAAGCCGCTATCGAACAACCGCGCCGTCATGCGCGCTGGAAATCTGCCGTCGAACCCTGCTTACACATAGGGTCAAACAGTGACATATGCGCTGCCTGCCCTTAGCGTAGTGCTATGTTTACCTGATTGCTTCTAGTTACCGCCCACCGATCACAGGAGTACCAGTCCGTCGCTGACTGCCCTCATTGAATGTGCATTGTGGCCGCATGATCTTAGTGATCGCGATGGCTTGCCGCTTCCTACATTGAACGTCCTGAAACGCAGACCGCTCCCCAAATCCAATTCACATTACCATTCCTCATCCTTCTGTCCGCTCCTCCTGCTTCTGATACTCCTCCTGCGACTCCCTCTCCGACTCCCCCTTGCTGCTCGTCCGGCAGCTCCTCCTCATCTGCCTCTTCCTCCGCATTCCACCCCAAAAGCACCAAGCCAGGCAAGTGCTGGCGCATGGGGCACTGGCCGGCCCCAATGCGGGCGCGCCATCACATCTCGCGAGGGGTTTTCGCTTTGGGCCGGCCACTGCGACTTGAGCCAATGCAGCCACGAATCCACGCCACCGCCAATATCATCTCGACCCCATCGGCAACTCACCGCACGTGTCCTTCTCCTACTCCTCCTACAACCTCCTGTCGCCAATGGAGGCTCAGATGGTTAGCTCGACAATCGAGAAACGCGCACGGCACCACTCGACTCGTTCACATCGGTGGCCTGCTGGAGATCTACGGTGACGCCCCTCAGCGCTGCTCTCATCGTCGCTCCACCATGCGAGGGAGTGT